AAAAAAAAGAAACAAAAATAAATAAATAAAAACAGGGACCCTGTTACTTCAGGTTATTGCCCTTGAATTACTGAATAGCTATTTTTTTTTAATTATTCATCTCAGCTGAATTGCATTCAGGGACCCTACTGGTGCTTTAGAAATTTACTTTATATTTCTGCATACCTTTATCAAATGCTTGCCCACAAAAACCTTATAACAGCATGAGGTTTTAGGGTGTATCTTTCTTACTTTTTGAAGTACCCAATTTTTATGCCACTCACTCCAGTGAGTAAGGTCAACACTGTTTAAAACTCTGCACAATTAAACAACTATGCATACACTTTTGTCGCATGGATACCTTTAAAATCAGTCTGAAGTTGAGGATGCTCTTGTAACTCAACCTTGATCAACATGCACATGCGTATTTAGAAAAAAAAGAGGATGAATACTGTAATAAAACTCTGACTTGTCTGGGAAGTGTCTCTCAAAACAAACTCACTAAATCTTGTGGCTGCTACATAACCTTGAACATCAATTAAATCCATGAACTGGACCTATTGAGGGAAAGGTCACTGCAAATCAATAAAAAACTGTTCTGAGTGACAACCTTTTCACTGTGATGAAGCTAATTCTTACAGCAGGGTGTACAGCAGGGAGAGGCAACACCTTACTGGCAGAAGTCTCTGCTGTCACGTGTCACCCAAGAGTGGATTATAAAGCCAAGACAAAGCAGCTTGGCCCTTCTCTGCCCTGTGTAACTGCGCAGTGAAAGCTCAGGGCTTCTGCCCTCTCCCGTTCTGGTTTAGAGCCAATATCGGCAGTCTGTTTTAGAGAGAGGGAGAGAAAAAAAATACCCAGCAATCCTCTAAAGCAGCTTAAAGGCTGAATCTGGGGACTGAAGCTCTTTCCATTTCCAGAACTGCTTCTCTCTCCATTACTGCTAGATGAGCATCTGACTGACTTCCAAAGGAGCAACTACTGTGGATATATTTAAATTGTGTGCTGCATTCTCCAAACGGCTCTTCATGCCTCATGTGCATCTCACAAAACATTGACGTCCTATCAAGGCATTAGAGACTGTGAATAGAAACTGTGGGAAGAGGGGGTTGTTTGATTTGAACTCTTGATGTAATCAGGAGTCTTGCATCCAATTAAATAATGAATGTCAAGTGATCATGTAACAAATAAACTCTCCCAATGGGAGCCTATGGGTTGCAGTGCCCATTATTATTTTGGTGCAGTCGCCTCCGCTGTCCTTTGTTAACATGCTGACTTTCGAGTGAAATGAAGTGAAGCAAAGACGAGTGGAGCCCTGAGTGGTTTGAAGTGAGTGCATGATGTGACTCTAGGTGGTCCTCTTGTCAGTGTGTGTGTGTGTATATTGCTGCAGGAATAAACAGAGGAAAACAGAATTGAAGGCTTGAGTTACTTCTCAAGGGGTGAGAGGAGGGAAAAAGGCAAATGAGAGAGAGAAAGAAGGAACAAGCAAAACCGAGAATAGAAACAAGAGTCTCTAGAACAGCTCCAGACTGATGCATTTACGCAGACATTGAAAAAACCTTATTTAGATTTGTCCTGGAGAAGAAGCCCCATCTGGGTAGTCTCACTTGTTGGGTTTCTACCAGATGCATCCAAATGATATATTCATTTTTGTGGTTGGTTAAGGATTAAGTTAGCATAATCGTGCATATAAATACTTCAGCACGGCATGACACAAGGAAGGAAATTCGTTTGAAAACCAGAGGGAAATCACTTTAATCACTTTTCTTAAGGGAATAATTCAACATCTTGTAACTATATTTATTCTGTTTCTAGCTGCAGTAAGAGGAAGTTTAAGACTGCTCTCATTCCTACAGAAAGTTACCAGCAGCAGCCAGCTGTCTTAGATGAACATATACACACACAACTACAAGACCTGCTTTGTTTCATTGTTTCAAGGTGAAATCTGTCAGTTTTATGCCCCAAACTCAGTACTTAGCACAGTATATCTTGTGCGTAGAAGAAAAAAAAAAATACAGATTCAGAAAGAGGGTTAGTTTTATTTTATTTTATTTTATTTTTTGCTTGGCTACTGGTCAGTATTTCAGAAATAAATCTAACACTTTAATAAACTTGTAACGGAGCTGAATGGTGCAAATTTTGTAACCTAAGATGTTTGTAGAAAATATGCAAACAGTGGACCATTTATAATAACATCTATGTCCAAAAAGTGAAGCCTGAAAATTGCATTCTTTCTTATGGCCAAGAGGCAAATACTTTGGCTGCAAATTGACTTCCTTGACCTATGAGCTCAATAAATTGTTTCCAACTTTAACATCTTACTAAGAACAGCACACTTTTTTCCAATGTTTAGTCCTCATTAGAGTGAAAAGGGGCAATAAAGCATCCTCATGTTGGACCTACTTTGTGCTTATTGCTACTTTATGAGTGTTTCAGTTTCTCTGTCACATTTCATATCATATTTAGTGATGTCACATGGCTATACATTCACCTCTTGTATAAGATATAAACTCCACATTTCTAGTCATTGTTTAGACATTTTCTCATTGCAAAGCTTATTCTGTGCCAAGACAACTGACCCTGAGTTACCATAAGAGAAGAGACTCATAACTGAATATTAATGTCTTATTAAGAAAAAAAAGTTAATTAATAGTTAAAGAGAGAACCCTCAGAGGAAAATGCTTTGGTGTTGATGGTAGATGGTCAGCAATCTACTTGTGGTAGAAAAGGAGCAGGAAAATACAGTGGACAGTAGATGCACGGTGTAATAAAATGCTAGATCGAGTACTAGATGAAGTAAGACTTGATTTAGCTAATCTCAAGAAAACTAATATTGCCACCTTGGTTATATTCAGTCTCCAGTACAGGGGACCAGCTTAGCCCTCCATTAAAGGGGTAGATTGGCCTGCTTAATGAAATTAAAAGAACAAGATTTGTTCAACAAACTGAGGTAAAGGAGATAAATACAATTCAATACATTTCTCATGACCTGGTCATTCTCATGCCCTCCGTGAAGCATGGCTGAATGAAGCAAAGTAATCTTTTTAGCACCATAAAACTGCTGGAACCATTTCTGAAATGAGTTTGGCCTTTTTTTTCTCTCTTTTTTTTGAATGTATGGTCAATTTTATTATATTAGCGACCACATAAAATAAATTAAGATACCTTTATCTTTCTTTTTCCTGTTTCAGTAAATACATGAGAGTACATTGGATGTTTATTATTGCCAGTAGGTAATCTGGTTTTCACGCTAAATACATCTACAACAGAAAAATGTATGAGGTCTTCTTCTAAATATGATTGAAACAGACATAGTAATGGACATTAAATGCTCCACAATATCATATAAAGTGACCCAGGTCAAGGTGAAACACAGACTTTATACACAGTCTTTAGATGGAATGGCCTCTGACTTTTCCAAAGGCTTATCTCTGCTGCACCCACCTTCACCACACAAATCCTAGAAGCTTTTTAGAAGGGATTTTCTGACTCTGGAAATCTGTTTGCCTTTCTAAAACTGCAAGAGCACAAACCGGTCATGACCTTTCCCCCCCCCCCCCCTGCAGGCCATCAGCTCTGCTCGTATGGTTTATTTGGAATATGCACATTCAGTAAATGACGCC